ACATATCAGCAGGCTCACATAGCTTTCCACCTCCACGTTATTTTCTGGGTCACTCTTGTCTCTTCTTACAACTCCCACTATGTGAGCAATATCATGTCTCTGCTGAAAGCAATTTTCAACAAGTTTAGCATTGTACCTCTTACTGACATCACGCTCAGTCTTCACCCGGTACACTCACTTTTTGTGCAATGTCTTCTTCCCTAGTAGAAGTTCTGTCAGCTCCCACTTGCTCAAACTTTCATCTTGCAAGATTTCTTCATAGCTCTGTGATTCTTCAACATATGTCTGTGAAACTATAGGAATGAGTGTCCCAGACTCACTTTCCTCTTCACTTCCATCACTGCCCTGCACTGTAGTCTCTGGTAGATTTCCTACCGCATGCAAAGCCCCTGAATCCAACATCAAGTCTTCAACAGAACTATGAACTGATAACAATAGTGCATCATGTGATTCTTCAGATACCACATTTGTGTTATCATTATCCATCTTCTTAGGATTTCTGTAGTTCTTCTTTATGTGGTCAGCCTTGCCACAATTCCAACAGGTTGTCTGTTTATTAAACTTTGATTTTGCTCTTCCTATACTCGAGTTACTATCATGTCATCTCCCTCTGAAATCAACATTCAGTGTCGAACTCGAACCTGAGACCTAGCCAGAATCTTTCCTATGAAATTCCACAACCAAAATCAAATCACGAATACCATCGTATTTCAGTTTAAATTTACCTGCAGAACTGCTAACTACTATCCTCATGACTTCCCAATTATCTGGCAATGAAACCAACAAAATCAGTGCACATACCTCATCATCAAAATTAATTTCCACAGACGACAATTGATTTGTGATAGTATTGAAAACATTCAGATGTTGAGCACAGTGTTGAGATGTTGAGCACAGAAACATCTTCTGGCATCTTTAAATTGAATAACTTCTTCATCAAGTGCACATTTTTATTCGCCGATGACTTTTCATATATACCTAATAAGGCTGTCATGAGATCTGCAGTCGTCCTTTCCTTGACGACGATGTGTGCAACAGACCTCGATATGGTCAATCAAATAACCCCCAGAACTTGTCGATCCAATAAATTTCATTCAGTCTCATCCATCCTGTCAGGTCTTTTCCCCAATAACGGAAGATGAAGTTTCTTCCCATAAAGATAATTTTTTGTCATCATTCTTCCTCAGATCCGAAACAAAGCTCTGATACAAGTTGTTGTTGTTGCGAGATCTAGATATACCAATTGATGTGGTATATATATAAATCAAACAGGAGACCTTATTCATTAGGGAGCTTGGGATAATTATAATTTCTTCTATGGTCATCACCATTGGGCTTGGTCGTTGGTGAGAATATTATAAATTTCACAAAAATTAAGGTCTAAGAAATGTGAGTAACAACACAGTGGTACAGGTGGATGTACAAAAAAAAGTTGATTAAGTCAAGGTTAAAGGCTACCCATTTCCCTCGCACAAAGACCTTCTCGTCCACAGATTCCTTTGTAATTGTTAAAAATTTACAGACGGGGTACTAAGGTGGTCGTAATGTGGTAGCAAATACACTGCCACCTCCTACTCTCAATAGTCTCTTCAATCTCATCTCCAAGTTGCGAAAACACTAGTTTTAGTTTTAGTTTCCCTAAAGCAAGAAAATTGTTAAAGCATATAGAGGTATCTACACTCACGAGCTTTATTATGTCGAAAGACAAATCTTTCTTCTTACCTTTGGTTTTTTTTAAGTCATGTCCTAGAACGAAATGTAGGAGGAAGGAAAAACTGCAATGCACCTCACTGAGGCTAAGGATCATATATCTAAATTATTGGTGAAGTTTTGCAGCAACTAGAAGTGGTTTTTGAGCGCGGAGAACAAATCCAGTGATATTTAAAGAGAGAGGACGAGCAAAGAAAAATGACTTCTTTTTCCCCGTGTAGACATTAAAAATGCCTAACGCAGGTGCGTCGCAGTTCATGCGTGGGTGTGCCTACACAATAGGGACTGGAGAGGGTGCACTGCATTCTAGACATGGGTGAGCTGGCTTGCCTAGGGCCACTAAATGCGGGATCACGCTCGACACCTTGACGCTCCAACACGTTCGTAAGACTTATTGTAGGTACGCTGAAGACAAGATTGGTTTTTCCCGTTCTGTCTCGAGGAAAAATTTGTGATCAAAGGAGGTATGGTTGTGTCTGAAACATGGCATAGAGGCACTGAATTGGATGTTGTGTCATCAAATTTCTCGATTCCTGAAACCTTCACTTTATCTGCAGTCATCATTCTTCCTCAGATCCGAAACAAAGCTCTGATACAAGTTGTTGTTGTTGCGAGATCTAGAATACCAATTGATGTGGTATATATATAAATCAAACAGGAGAACGATCGACGAAGTGAAAAATAGAACGAGAAAAATCAACAAAAAAGAACAACAGAGCGGAACACACAGATTTGCGTGGTTTGGCTACGTGGTTTGGCAAATTGCCTACGTCCATGGAGTTGCAGAGGATTTTACTACTTGAGAAATTTACAGCAGTCGATCATCTCGACTTACAAGAGGAATCTCTCACGCTTCGTTGCTCTCTCTCTGTTCTTCTCTCTCTATACCGAGATACACCGAAGAAAACTCTAGACCGAGATACACCGAAGAAGATAAAATTACAAGAGAAATAAACTCAATTTTTCTTCTGCCATAAGCCACCAAGAAGAAGCCTAGGGAGAACAATCTTCTTCTTCTTCCTTCTTCCTTCTGCCGCAAGGAACTGCTCCTCCATGCACTTCTCTTCCTCTGCCCCGAGGAAACCTTCCTCTATCCCGAGGAAACCAAAGAAGAACTCAAAACGTGACTACAAAACCCAAAGAGAGTCATCCAAAGCTTTTATCACGAACAGGAGGGAGCGAAGAGAAGTTTCACTTCACAAAACAGGAAAGCGGGAGTGGTTATTTGTGAAAAGGTGTGACTATTCAAAGCAAAGTAACCGACCAATCATAGTGGACCGGGCTCCACCGTTTCTAACAAGCGTTAATAAGTTTAATCATCAATTAAAATCAAAATTTAATCTATGATTAATATGACACTTTATTTGATGATTTGATAAGGAGTGGGTAAATGGACAAAGTTATTTATTCAATGGGGCAAATGAATAAATTATGTCTTTTATTAATAAAATTTTGAATTAATTTGATAAAAATGAAAAATATTGGTGTGATTTTTGTATGGGAAGATAATTATAATCTCAAAAACATCGGCTTTTAGATTATTTGGAAAACAATATGTTTGTTTTTAATGTGGGATGAATTTGATAATTTTGATTGATGGAATATATAGGTAAAACTTAACTTTTAACAGAGGTTCTATATTTTGACCAATTATCCTTCTTTTGATAGATAAACTATTATAAAAATATTACACAACTTAATCCATATCCAACACTAATTTTCAGATTGTAGATCATAATAATCGTGGTTTGGTCACATTAAACATCGACCATCTGATAATCTCACTACAGGTAAAGCAGGAATTAGCGTATGATATTTGCGTTGGATATTTTCGACACAAATATTGGCGTCAGATTAGCGGCGAAAAATTAATTATGACATTTGCATCGGATTTTGCGTCTGAATTGCGTTGGCTTATTCGTCGATAAAAGTATTATCAAAACGGTGAAACTTCTTCTAGAGTTACAACGGATTATGCGTCGAATTTGCGTTGAAAAACTCGACGCAAATAATTCACTTGTTAGTGTCAAAATAATCCGACACAAATGACCTAATTAACACATCGTGCCCGCCTAAAATTCATTTTCTCTCAGCGCTCGATCTCTCCCTCTGCCCGAAAGCCTCGTGTCTTCCCCTCTCCCCATTCCCTCTCCCTCAGGACTTCGCTCAAATCCATCGCCTTCCTGAATGAACCTTTGTTATACAATCACCATTAGAGCTAGCTTGAAAGGTGACAGTTCGCGTGCAGAGACCACCAAAACTCCCGTAGTTCTCATACTTCTGCTCTGCTCCAATCAAAAAACAACGAGGAAGGTAACTCCATTTGCTCCAGTCTTTATCATTTAAATTTTTGTTTAGTGAAATGGGTGTTTCAGAGGTAATGTTTATTTGTTAGGTAAGTATGAAAATCTTTAGTGAAATGGGTGGCCACTAAATGCGGGATCACATAATGCATGTCCAAATTAAATTTTAGGTTTTAGATATGTGTGTGTGTGTGTCTATATATATATATATATATATATATCGGGTTTTTTTTCAAAAAGAAATTGATATTTGGCAGAGGCCCAAATATCGATTTCCCATGCGCATCAAGGCCCCATGATGAGAGCCCGAGTCATGTGCCTAACTATTCGAGAACCCCGCGCCATGGGGGATCACACCCGTGACCTGAGGGGACTTATAGTGAACCCCGTCAACCATATATATATATATAAGCATTATGTATGAAAATATTCATAGATATGTATTGTGGTATGTATGTAAGAATTGAAGTTTAGGTGTTAGGTATGTATATACATAAGAATTATGTGGTATGCATGCATATCTTCGTAAAAATTGAAGTTTATGGGTTAGGTAAGTATATACATAAGAATTGAATGGTATGTGAGAAATCTTCATAAAAATTGAAGCTTGGGTGTAGCTATGAATATACATAAGTATTGAGTGGTATGTGTTTACCTCTTAGTAGAATTCAAGTTGGTCGGTTGAAGTGAAGCAATATGTGCATCGGGTCATGTTCAAAATGATGGTGATATACTTGAAAAAAAAAAGGGATAAGAAGAGGAAAAGCAGGAACGACATGCTCAGAGGTTTTAAAAGAAAGCAAACTTCCCCATTGTTCATCATTTATCATCTTTTATCCTAACTAAAAGTTTATGAATTTCTTGTCAAAGGACAAGATGAACACCATTCATTTTCATAAATGCATTAAGGAAGATAAGATTACCTTTAGATGATTTTCACGAGCCTTTAAAATTCTGGCAGCACCAACAAGCATTGCCGCATGGGCATCATGCCCACAAGCATGCATTTTACCGGGAACTTTGCTTTTATACTTCCACTCTACAGCTTCCTGGGAAAGAAATAGAAAAAAAAAATGACAATTATAGTGAAAAGAAATGGATAATATAAAATATTCAAAATAGGCTATTCAAAATTCTCACGTTCCTCAGCAAAAAATATTTTTTAAAATTAAAAAGTAAAATTATGAAGAAACAGTGCTTTTGAAGTTTCAAAATTTTGCCAAGAGGACAGAAGTTCATGTTCAACTGGACACAACATAATACAACAGAATCTTCTCTCTTCTAGTAATGATATTGGAAAAAGAGAAAGACCAAGTTCGCTCCAACCCCATTAGCTCATGTATGAACATGTATTTCCACATGGTCAATTCCTTAAAAAAATAACATGCCTTTATAAGGATAAAGAAAGACTAATATTAATCACTCTACCATACTAAGAATTTAGGTATAAATCTTTTTAACTTGCTTTACTTATTCCTTATACATTTGAATATTTTTATGGGCTTCTTTATCCATGATTATACTTGAAATTTGCTCGAATTTATTTTTTCATATACCGCTTGAAACATGAGATAGAGAGCATTGTTTTCCCTCTTTCTTGAATATTTAACAATGCTCTCCAAGCTTTCCACAAAGCAATGCCACCTTACTTTCATCTTTCTCAAAGATATCACATACATATTGTACACTTGTAGAGACTTCATCGTGAAGCTTCATTTGTCATAATTACTCTTAGTGAGTCTCGGAACTAAAAAGGAATCAATGGTGGAACCAAGGGAGGGCAATCAATCCTCTTAGATTCTTTTTCTAAACTCTTTATTAATACACTAAAATTTTATCCCCTGAATTTAAATACTTAATATTAATTTAATAATCATTTTATTTTTAATTAATAAATATTTTATAATTATTTTAAACAATTTATCACAAAAATTATAATTATCTTCATTTATCTAGTAGTGTTATAAAATATTTTTTTAAATGTTATATATATATATATACGTATATATATATATATATTTTAATTTAAAAAAAAAGGATTTTATTTCTATTATCAAGCAAAACTTGAAGATTTATACGAGATAAAATCTATAAAAAAATATTATATTATACATGACAAAGCTTGAGATGAATCAAAATGAGAAAAAATAATACTTGTATTAAGATTTATCGATAAAAATGAATATGTTAATAAATCATCTTTGACGGTATTGATATTCACGGCATTCGAGTCCAACGATATAATAGTCCAATAATATACATAGTGAATGAAATAGATTGCAAATTTTTATACACCTCTTTTGCATATTACATTATTTGTTTATGCATATCATCAAAAAAGTTTGAATATTTCATTCTTCACCCACCAAATCCTCCACACACCCCAATACCTTTCCCTTGAAATTTTAACATACTTATTTTCAACAAGTTCATTTTTTTACAGAACAAATTCATTTATAAATAAATCGAACTGCAGCTCAGGGGTTGTGCAAACAAACAAGTTAGTTGCTCCAAAATAAAACCCCAAATTGATCTTATTTTGGTGGAATCAGAATGATATTGGCTCACATGCGAATGCTGCAGGTAATATTTGCTCCAGAAGAAGGACATACCTGAATCGGAA